CAGGGCTGAAATTAAGTTAATTTTCATGGCAAAGAGGGACTTTGCAATTAATTGCAATTCATCTGATCACTCTTCATGACATTCTGGAGTATATGCAAATTGCCATCATAAAAAACTGAGGCAGCAGACTTTGTGAAAATTAGTATTTGTGTCATTCTCAAAACTTTTGACCACGACTGTAGATGAAGGGGAGGAGACAGATTAAAGAAGGATTTTTAACATGAGAAAATTGAGACATGGATTGTGTATGTGTGCCATTCAGAGGGTGAATGGGCAAGACAACAGATTTGTCTTTGAACGGGGTATGGTAGTAGGTGCCAGGCGCACCGGTTTGAGTGTGTCAAGAACTGTAACGCTGCTGGGTTTTTCACGCTCAACAGTTACCCGTGTGTATCAAGAATGGTCCACCACCCAAAGGACATCCAGCCAACTTGACACAACTGTGGGAAGCATTGGAGTCAAGATTGGCCGGCATCCTTGTGGAATGCTTTCGACACGTTGTAGTCCATGTCCCGACGAATTGAGGATGTTCTGAGGCCAAAAGGAGGGGGTTCAACTCAATATTAGGAAGGTGTTCCTAATGTTTGGTACTCTCAGTGTAGATCCTACCTCTATCCTCTCCCTGTCTCTCACTCTATCCCTCCTACCTCTATCCTCTCCCTGTCTCTCACTCTATCCCGTCGATATATACCTCCTACCCTCTTTCATATCCCCTGTCTCTCACTTATCCCTCACTCTATTACCTCCTACCCTCTGATCCTCTACCTGTCTCTCACTCTATCCCTCTTACCTCTATCCTCTCCGTCTCTCACTCTATCCCTCACTCTATCCCTCCTACCTCTATCCTCTCCCTGTCTCTCACTCTATCCCTCGCTCTATACCTCCTACCTCTTTCCTCTCCCTGTCTCTCACTCTATCCCTCACTCTATACCTCCTACCTCTATCCTCTAACCTGTCTCTCACTCTATCCCTCACTCTATCCCTCCTACCTCTATCCTCTCCCTGTCTCTCACTCTATCCCTCACTCTAAATCTATCCCTCCTAGCCCTCTAGTCGTCTCCCTGTCGTCTCACTCTATCCCTCGCTCTCTAACCATACCTCCTGACTCTTATCCGAGTCCCGGTCGCCCGACTGCTATCCCTCCGTACCTCTGGATCCTGCTGCCCTGGTCTCCCACTCTATCCCTCCTACCTCTATCCTCTCCCCCTGTCTCTCACTCTATCCCTCACTCTAAACCTCCTACCTCAATCCTCTCCCCTTTGTATCTTTCTCTCTCTCTCTTTCTAGCTCTCTCTGCTTCTCCTTCTCTATCATTCTCTCATTTCCCCTCCTTTCCTTTCCTCTCATCCATCTTCCTCTCTCTCTGCACCAGAGGTGGTACTTTTTAATTCTGTCCCTCGGGCTTCTCACAGCATTCTGCTACATCACTACTGTCTCTCCTAAAAATACTGTCACACCTTTTTATCTTCTCACCCCTTCCTCTTTTATCTCACCAACCCTCTACTCCTCTTAACCTCCCCTCTGTCACCCATCTCTCCACCTTCCCTCTCCTCACCCCATCCCTCTCTCTCCATTCTGCGCCTTGTCTTGATCCAAAAAGCTGTTAAAAGGCCATCTTTGATAATAAAGATGGTGTTCAAGAGTATGCTTGTTTAAGATGCTGCCACTCATGTAAAGCTAAACAATTACGTGTGACAGGGTACATTCAAGAGTCCAAATGATTCATGTGGTAATACGATTTGTCATGTTAAATATTCATGAAGTCTGTTTGATTCTGGAGCCATAGTGCTGCCTTTGACAGAAATGATAACCAGTAGGTATTTTACTGGACAGATATGGGGGATGTTTACTGTTTTTCCACAGCTGAGGAGCCAAACTGCTGCAATTATTTTGTATTCAGTCACACGTACACGCCTCGTTGTTTATTTAGTTATTAAACTTAATTCAAGACACGTTTCACCAGTGAAAAAGGACCATTTAAAAAAACAGAATTTGACGTAGAAACCTAAGCGAGTCAGCAGCTGAAGCACATCCTTTCATATAGGCTTTCCTTGCAGAAACAGAAAATCCCAAAGTTGAAAAAAAGCCTAGTCTTTGTGATTTGAACGGCCTGCTCTCTGTGTGTCTGTGTGTGTGTGTATATATATATATATATATATCACACACACACACACACAATGAATTCAGAATGTATTCAGACCTCTTGACATTTTCCACATTTTGTTACGTTATAGCCTTATTCTAAAATGGATTAAATTATTATTTCCCCTCATCAATCTACACACAATACTCCATTATGACAAAGCAAGAAATATCACATTTACAGTGCATTCGGAAAGTATTCAGCCCGCTTGACTTTTTCCACATTCTGTTACGTTACAGCCTTATTCTAAAATTGATGTAAAAAATTTAACAAATCCTCAGCAATCTACACACAATACCCCATAATGTCAAAGCGAAAACAGGTTTTAAGAAATGTTTGCAAATGTTTTAAAAATTAAAAACAGAAATACCTTATTGACATAAGTATTCAGACCCTTTGCTATGAGACTCGAAATTGAGCTCTGGTGTATCCTGTCCTGTTTCCATTGATCATCCTTGAGATGTTTTTACAACTTGATTGGAGTCCGTTCATCTTTCACTCGATCCTGACTAGTCTCCCAGTCCCTGCCGCTGAAAAACATCCCCACAGCACGGTGCTACCACCACCACCATGCTTCACCGTAGGGATGGTGCCAGGTTTCCTCCAGACGTGACGCTTGGGATTCAGGCCAAAGAGTTCAATCTTAGTTTCATCAGACCAGAGAATCTTGTTTCTCATGGTCTGAGAGTCCTTTAGGTGCCTTTTGGCAAACTCCAAGCGGGCTATCATGTGCCTTTTACTGAGGAGTGGCTTCCGTCTAGCCACTACCATAAAGACCTGATTGGTGGAGTGCTGCAGAGATGGTTGTCCTTCTGGAAGGTTCTCCCATCTCCACAGAGGAACTCTGGAGCTCTGTCAGAGTGACCATCAGGTTCTTGGTCACCTCCCTGACCAAGGCCCTTCTCCCCCGATTGCTCAGTTTGGCTGGGCGGTCAGCTCTAGGAAGAGTTGTGGTGGTTCCAAACTTCTTCCATTTAAGAATGATGGAGGCCACTGTGTTCTTGGGGACCTTCAACGCTGCAGACATTTTTTGGAACCCTTCCCCTCGACACAATCCTGTCTCAGAGCTCTACGGACAATTCCTTCAACCTCATGGCTTAGTTTTTGCTCTGACATGCAGTCAACTGTGGGACCTTATATAGACAGGTGTGTGCCTTTCCAAATCATGTCCAATCAATTGAATTTACCACAGGTTGACTTCAATCAAGTTGTAGAAACATCTCAAGGATGATCGATGGAAACAGGATGCACCCGAACTCAATTTCGAGTCTCATAGCAAAGGGACTGAATACTGATGTAAATAAGATGTTTTTTATTAATTTTTTTAATTTGCAAAAATTTCTAAAAACCTGTTTTCCCTTTGTCATTATGGGGTAGTGTTTAGATTGATGAGGAAAAACATTTAATCACTTTTAGAATAAGGCTCTAACATAACAAAATGTGGAAAAAGGGAAGCAGTCTGAATACTTTCCGAATGCACTTTGTGTCTATATCAGGTGATTTAAGTGTGAATGTGGGGTCACACCAGATGCATTCTTAAAAACAGGAAGAATAAAGAAAAAACACCCTATTCAGTTATATCCTTTGAGTCTTAAAGGCAATGCAGAAAACATATAGGCAAAAACATAATACAGCTCTTTTTTTTTTTTTTTACTTTTAAATAGTTATTCAACTCTTTCCTTGGACAACGGGTGAACCAGCAGAGATATTCAACTATTTCCTTGGACGACTGGGTTATTATAGAACACCACACAAAACATTCCATCATAGTACCAAACCACACCAACTATCAAAATAAAACTATTATAAAAGAAAACGGTTTGGTAAAAAAAAAAGAAAAACATCTCTGTAAGGCCTGATATGACACTGGTTTGAACAGTCACACATAGAGCATTTTGTGCTTTGAGTTTACAGCTATTCTACATTACATTCACTTCCTGTGCAGTATATGGATGGTACTACTGAGCTACACACAACTTTTCCAGGGACAAAACAGTTTCTCCCAGTACACAACCACTCACTTTATACAAAAACACACATTGTACAGACACAGATTATCTTTGTTAAATTAACCGCTCTTTTGAATTGAAAGAATCCCCCTTTTAATGCAACAAAGTCCACAGACATAACAGAATAATTGGCAGTGAGATTTGTTTATGTGGTTGGACGAGGCTACTGAGTTTGAGTGGCAGTTTCAGTCTTGGTCCCGCCTCTACAGGAAATAAAACTGGATAAAATCCTCTGTCATCAACCTGGAGATGTATGAAGACGCCCTGCTGATCTAAGGTCAGTTTGATTGTCTGATTGGTTGAGCTGTGCACCTCATTTCAACCATTGTGGATCAGACTGAACAGTAACAAGCCCTTGGAGCTGTCAGAAACAGACAGGAGAGGGAGGAGAGAGCCTCACTGGACCATGGAGATAACCGCTCATAGAGGCTGATATCTGGCCTGCCTACACTGAGATAAACCCCCCCCCCCCCCCCCCTTTTGCTCTTCCTCCAGGTACTTATCTCGTAGATATCCCTTAATGCTCACCACATACGCTGCTGCTACAGTTTACTATCTGTTACTTCATTCCTAGTTATATGTACATATATACCTCAATTACCTCGTACCACTGCATATCGACTCGGCACTTGTACCCCTTGTATATAGCCAAGTTTTCGTTACTCATTGCGTATCTATTATTACGTGTTACACTTTTCTATTTTCTTTCTCTCTGCATTGTTGTGAAGGGCCCCTAAGCATTTCACCGTTAGTCCACACCTGTGACAAATACAATTTGATGCTATCCTTCCTCTCTCTCCCTCTCAGTGACTTTGATCCTTGTGAAGCTGCATTCTCTCCCTCTCCACCTCTAGTCTCTCCCTCTCTATCTGCAGTCGTCCAGACTCAAACTTAAAGAACTGCAGCCTCTCTTTCTCTAACTGCAATCTCTCCTTCTCCAGCCTCAGTCTCTCGCCCTCCAGATCTATCATAGAAAGCCAGGGTTTATTCCCCTTTCTCTCATTCTGTCCAGCCACAGCAGAGGAAGAGGTGGTGTTAGGGGTGGGGGTGGACGAGGAGGGAGGGCTTTGCTGGGGGGGAGCAGCGGCCCGTTCTGATTGGTTCATGAGCAACACCCGAAGTTGCTCTTTCTCCAGCTGCAATCGCTCTTTCTCCAGCTGCAACCTCTCTCTCTCCACATCCGATTGACTCAGTCTCTCCTTCTCCAGTAGGAGGCGCTCCCTCTCCACCGCTAGCCGCTCCGTTTCCACAGCCAGACGCTGCTTCTCAAGCTCCACACGCTGCTTCTCCAAGGCAACCAGAAGTCCCGCACTCTCATGATTGGCCAGTCCTAAGCCAGCAAAGCCCAGTCCACCCAGGCCGGTCAATGAGAGGTCCCGATTCATTGAGGCCGCCGCCCCCTTTGAGGCACTGAGCATTCCGAACTCATCAATGTGTGAAAAGACTTCAGGGGTGCGTCCATCAGGCAGGAGGGAGGGGAAACAATCTTCATCATCCTCTACCTCACCCTCTCCGCTATCACCCTCCAGCTGACAGATAGAGAGAGACAAAGACTCTGATCATTGACATACTGATTAATACAATACAAACATCTTGACACGCAGACCAGTGATGCATGGGTCAGCTGTTTGTTAACCCGCACCTGCCCGCAATTGCGAATAACCCATTCACCTCCCGACTATATGTGATAAAGTGAAAATCTGCGGGCCGCACCCGACCGTAACCCACAATATAGAAAATGTGCTGTACAGTCAGATGGCGGAATTCTTTTGTTGACAGGCCTTTTAGATAGTTTTTTAGGGGGTAGATCAGCTTTAATGTTGCAGATAGATTGTAGGCCTCCTGTAGCTCAGTTGGTAGAGCATGGCGCTTGCAACGCCAGGGTTGTGGGTTCGATTCCCACGGGGGGGCCAGTATGAAAAAAGTATGAAACAAATAAAAAAATTAAGGAAAATGTATGCACTCACTAACTGTACGTCGCTCTGGATAAGAGCGTCTGCTAAATGACTAAAATGTAAAATGTAATTGTAACTTCCATCAATGTAATTGTCTGCATCACTTCCAATCCCCCATATGGTTTTTTTCCCCCCTCGCGTGCACACACACTTTTTAAAAATATATTTCCCTTTATTACTTTCCAACCCCACCACCCCTTCCCTAATTGGAGTAAACTAGTGAACAACAACGCTTAGGCCTCTACTTCCAGTTTATACATACTATATACATTTTATGGGCACAGTCAATTTTACAATAATTCTATTTTGTTTGTTTTTACTCCTGAACTTCCTCCACCCTCATCCTCTGCGATCATTTTCATGATGTCCATCCGGTTTGCTTCTATATGCCATATCTTTCTAACTGTGCTCTTTCCCAAAAGCTCTCAACATACAACCTATATACTTATTATGGACACAGTATGCTTACATTATTAGTTATCTTGTTATTAGTTGTGTTAGTTGTTATTAGTCCCAACTCCATTCAACACCACCCATCTATCTCTTAACACCATCCATATTGGATTTCTATTTGCCATATATTTTTCAACTGTACTGTGATGTTTTACAAAAGTTCTGAACCTTTCTATTCTCATTGTTTCTACAGATCGTAAATTGAAAATAAACATTTTTGCTAAAAGTATTATTATATTATTGATTGATTGACTATGACTTTTCAGATCACCCAGTAATGCTATCTGCACGGTTAGCTCCAGGTAAATATTGCAATCCTTTAGCCATTCCTGGACCTGTGTCCAAAAACAAGCTACAAATGGACAGTCCCAAAACAAATGATCTACTGATTCTGTCTCTTCGTCGCAAAATCTGCAGAGCTGGGAAGATTGTATCCCCCATATAAATAACATTCTATTGGTAGCAAGAATTTTATATAATAATTTAAATAGAAAAAAAAAAAAGTTTTGAATCCAGCGTCGTTTGGCGTATCAGTTCATAAACACTATGCCATGGGATCGGTACGTAAAAAAATCTCTTCCCAACTATTTTGCAATCTATATGGGACGGCTGTCAATCCTTTGGTCCTTAAATTAAACTGGTATACTTTTTTATTTATCACAGTTTTCTTTAACCAATTATGTTCTTTAATGCAAGGCCGACAGACAAGTTCCTTACTTTTTCCCCCTTCCGCTTCCATTTTTGCGGTAATGCTGCAATTATTTGGTTGTAAATTTGGGTAGAGCAGACATTTCCATATGTTTTTGTTAGCTGCATAACTCCACCAGTCCTACCGATGATATCATTTACGAAGATTAAACCTTCTGTCAAAAAATAAAGGTTTTTTGTCAATTAGTATATTTGAATTTAACCACAATATTTGTTGCATTATTTGTTCTGTCGTTTCTGGAGGATTAAATTGAAATTGCAACCAACTTTCTATGGCTTGTTTTAGAAATAGTGATATTTGGGAGATGATTTCCTTTTCAAATATCTTAAAGTGAGAGGTTGTAATCTGAATAAAGGGAAAAAGGCCATTCTTGAACATTGGGTGAGACAATCTTACTAATTTGCTAGAGAACCAGTTCGGATTTAAGTATAACTTTTGTATGACTGAAGCTTTTAGTGATAGGTCTAATGCTTTAATATTTGATAATTTCTGTCCTCCGAATTCATATTATAAATAGGCCCGTTTAATTTTGTCTGGCTTGCCGTTCCAAATAAAATTGAATATTTTTCTCATATAATTTTAAAAAACTGTTCGCTAAGCGTAGGCAAGACCATAAGCAAATAGGTAAACTGGGATAATACTAAAGAGTTAAATCAGGGTGATTTTTCCACAAATTGACAGGTATTTACCTTTCCATGGTAGCAAGATCTTATCTATTTTTGCTAACTTTCTATTAAAATTTATTGGAGTGAGATCATTTATTTCATTTGGGATATTTATTCTGAGTATACCCACATCACCATCAGACCATTTTTATTGGTAAACTACATGGTACTGTAAATTTTTTATTTTTTTGTGATCCAATACATAATATAGTACATTTATCATAATTTGGTTGTAATCCAGAGGGGTTAGAAAATGTATCTAGATCCTCTATGAGGCTGTGGAGGGATTCTAGTTGTGGATTTAAAAGAAAACATGAATCATCAGCATACAATGACACCTTTGTTTTTAAGCCCTGGATTTCTAATCCCTTGATATTATTGTTGGATCTGATTTTAATAGCCAACGTCTCGATGGCCATAATTAATAGATATGCCGATAGTGGACAACCTTGTTTCACTCCTCTTGACAGTTTAAAACTTTCTGAGAAATAGCCATTATTTACTATTTTACACCTAGGGTTACTATACATGATTTTAACCCATTTTATAAGACATTCTCCAAATTTGAAATGCTCCAGGCATTTATATATAAACCCCAGTCGTACTTTATCAAATGCCTTTTCGAAGTCTGCCATGAATACCAGGCCTGGTTTCCCAGATTTTTCATAGTGTTCTTTTGTTTCCAGTACTTGTCTTATATTATCTCCAATGTATCTTCCATGTAAAAAACCTGTCTGATTAGAATGAATAATGTCTGACAATACCTTTTTAATTCTATGCGCTATACATTTTGCATCACCACACTGAAGTGTAAGGGGCCAACAATTTTTTTAATGGACTCGATCTTTATATTTTCCACTTCTATCCTGTTTCAGTAATAATTAAATCAACCTTATTCTTGAGTGTCTGATAACCTACCATTTACATAGGAGTGGTTACAACATGCTAATAACGGTCCTCTGAGTATATCAAAAAAAGGTTTGGTATACCTTGACTGGTATGCCATCCAACCCTGGAGTTTTCCCGGACATAAAGTCTTTAATTGCATCCAGAAGTTCCTCCTCTGTAATTTCACCTTCACATGAGTCTTTCTGTATGGCTGTTAATTTGACATTATCAATAGAAAAATAATCTCTACAATGAGCTTCAGTTAGAGGAGATGAGGCGACTGAAACGAAAACATATGCTTAAAGTACTTTGTTTCCTCCTTCAAAATATAATTTGGTGAATCATGGGTGACTCCTTCATTTGTAACCAGTTTCAGTTAATTATTTATGGTAGCATTCCTATGTTGAAGATTAAAAACGAATTTGGTGCATTTTTCCCCATATTCCATCCAGTTTGCTTTATTTTTATAATATATTACACTTGATCTTTCTTGAATAAGTTTCTCCATTTCTTTTTGTTTTTCCTCCAATTTATTCTGAGCCTCTATGTTACAGTTTTTATTGCTATCTATCTGTTAGACCTTCTATTTCCTTTGTTAGTATGGACTCTTTTGACCTAAATTGCTTTTGTTTTCCCATGTGGAAATTCAGTAAGAGTAATGTATATGCCAATTATATGATGGTCCGACCGCATTCTGTCCCCTATCAACACTTTTTAAACTTTTGGTGCCAACGAGAATGACATAAGAAAGAAGTCAAGACGACTAGCTTGATTGAGTCTCCGCCATATATATATTACTCACTAGATCAGGATATTTAAGCCTCCATATATCTACTAGTTCTAATGCATCCATGACATTCACGATTTCCTTAAGAGCATAAGGGTGATTGTTTGTAGTGTGATTTCCTTTATGGTCCATTGAGCTATTTAAAACGGTATTATATTCTCCCACCATAATAATAGAGTCTTGAATTGCTTGCAGGGTTGATAATTTATTATATATATATATATTGTCAAAGAAGTGTGGATCATCATTATTTGGTCCGTAAAGGTAAATGAGCCATATCTGTTTATGGTCCAATAACATATTTAAAATAATCCACATACATTCGCACATTCGGATCGAAATTACTGTTAATTAATATCATCACCACTTTTGAGTTTCTTTGCCCATGGGAGAAGTATATTTCGCCCCCCCATTCCTTTTTCCACGCAACTTCATCTAGAATTGTTGAATGAGTTTCCTGTAAACAATAGATATTATATTCCTTCTCTTTGAACCATGTAAATATTGTTCTTCTTTCGTTATTTGCTAAGCCATTACAATTATAACTGGCTATACTTATTTCACCATGTACCATAATGAGATACAAGTTTCAAATCTATTTATCATTATATACGTTTGTAAATTTACCAATAAAAAATACCATAGTGATTGAGTGTCCATATAGCTGTACCATGATATTTGCATTGCTACTAAGTAACCCTCCATTTGTTCTCCACTAATTCCCCCGCTAAAGTCCCTCCCCATCCCAAATTGGGCCGTCATCCCAGTGATCGGCATCCAACCCCCATCCCTCCGGATCCCTAGGGCCCCTAACATCCTTACCCCCTTGCAACAGATGTGGGATAAACACACACGCACACTCTAACACAATCAACCATAAAATCAGATGCTCAACAGTTGTTACATCCCAGAGCCCAACTCAAGAAAGGACCTGATTTACAAATGCATACATGAATGCATATACAGTTACAGCTGTTTGAGAAAGCATGCAAGATTGAGCAAAAATGGACAACAATGTGAGATTTGATTAATCTATTTAATCTATGTCAAGTCCTAGGTGATGGAGATCAGATCCACCCTCTAGGCCTATGTTTTCGCTTAAAATGTATGACATTTTGGTAGGCAATTTGTTAGTCAATAATTAGATACTTGCAGCTTCTCTTCGGTCACTGCTTGTTACCCTAGAAGACTAAATAAACCATTGATCACCAGAATAATGTCATAACTCTATAGAATGAATGCTTCTATCTAGTTGACGTCGGTAAAGTTTGTTTTCTCTTTACTCTTTCATCTCTGCTTCCCTCAAGCAGCAAAGACGTTTAGGGACTGGGAGAAAACGCTCTATAAAAATAAAAATAAAAGAAAACTGAAAAGATTCTCCATGCAAGATTTCCAAATGACATCAGTTTGACCGGTTTTAAGGAAATTAATAGCTTTTAAAAATGACCCAACATATTTTTGATAAGATTTCAGTTCGGCTTGGATGCATATTTTAAGTGGTTGAAATACTATCAGCTTTTAAGGTGCAGCACCCCCACCTTTACAGACAGTCCCTAACCTCGCATTCACTCGCTCAAGATGCTGAAATAAATCAATGATATTTCTCCACTCCTGTTCCGGAGTCAAAATTCAGTGTATAATTTTACTGCAAGAAATGCTTAATTCTGCTGGAGTTAATATTACATTAGGCTATATGAGTTGTAGACCGACAGTCAGTGTCCAGATTTCAGTGAGGCTACTATTCCATTTAACCCATCTGAACAGTACAGTTCACTTGATGTGCCATTTTGAAGTCCCCGTCTTGTTACTGTCGAATTTGTATAGCGACCACAATCACACATAACATAGGGACCTGCCATCATCCTCTTTTACCACTTCAGCAAATCTTTAAAATGTGAAGTGTCCTCCCTTCTATTTTTTTTAACTCTCCATTTCGCAGCTTTTCCTCTTATTTAATTAAACTCAGACATTGTCTTTTTTGCCCCAGTGGATCGATGTAAACTTTTTCTGCCCAAGTTCCCAAAAGCATTTGGCAGTTGGTGTGTATTCGGCTTCCTACAGTTAGACCCTATAGCTTAGGCTACACACTAACGCCAGATAAAAATAATTTAACAAAAACCTCAATGGATATGGATGCACAAGAATTCTACAATTATGGATTTTCTTATGCATCGTGTTCCCTTTATTCAACCCACAAATCAATAACGCGCACACAAACACAGAGATCCTCACCCTGTATCCATTGGCCTCCTCCTCCTCCTCCATCTTAACCCCCGTGGACATTGAGTGTCCGCTGGGCTCTCCAAGATCTGCCAGGTCCTGCCAGTCGCACTGGGACTCCTTGGGAAAGCCAGAGAGGTCGAGCGACTGGTCCCCTGAGCCCAGTGAGGCGTCGTGTTCAGGGGAGGAGGGATCATACTCTGCCTTGAGCCCTGTGGAAAGAGACCGCTCAGCACGGAGCTGGTTCCTCTTCATTAGCGACCGCCAGTCCAGGTAACGCCGCTTCACCTGGAACCACACACAACCATTACAATGAGTGGTGATGTCACAACTCAAGATTCTTCAGGAAGTATAGTTAAATCAGCACTGGGAAGTGAGAGCCCAATGGAACTCCTTCCAGTGAATGGGGCTGAATTAAACTATTGAAATGCGGCCCTTGTATGTAGGATACTTCCTGAGCTCTTTTCAGTGTTGTGTTCGAGGCCACCTAAAGCGAGGACAAATAGAGAGCCACTACAAATTATCACTAACCCAAACAGGTGTATAATAAATAAAACTACAAAATATGTTACAACTTCCCCTGGTCTCCCCTTACTAATAGTGAGCTTGCAACTTTCAAACAATTACCCCCACTCTTCCCTCCCAGCGAATCAAGGAAACTCTGTAACAAAGTTTGAGGATATTTTTCAACCAAAGTAAAGGGACAGTATACGATCAAAGTAGGAAGCCCAATTTCAATAGGCGATAAGATATGAATGTGTCATGAAAGCAGTGTGGATATTTGGGCTTGCGAAGCAGTTTTATGTGCTGACAATGGGCTGATAATTATGAGTTTTTTACGCCGCTGGTATCGGGAAGAAATTACGAGTCCTCATTGTCCGAGACCAAGTCAAGACAGAGTACAAAAGTATCCGACACGAGACACTCAATATGTGGCCTAGAGACCGGACTCGAGACCGGACTCTCTTTCAGAACATAATTTGTCACTATGGAAGTCACCTCCACACACACACACACACACACCTCTGAAGCTGTGCGTAGTTCGCCCTCTCCCAGTGCGTTGACGCCTCCTGCTACCTCCTCCCAGGCTCGTCTCTTCAGTTCGTTGATGGCGGTGTTCTGCTGGCGGGAGAACAGCACGTCTCGTCTCTTGTGGATCTCCCGGATCAGCGTCTGCGTCTCACGAACGCTGTAGTTACTCTTCCTCTTCCTCTTCAGCTGTTTCATCTGCAGGAAATCCAGCCTGGCGGTCAGGAGGGGCGCGCACGCAGATGGAGAGCGAGACAGATCAAGGAGGGATGGCGAGAGGGATGGAGAGACAGAAGTCTTACAGAGGGACTCTGAAAGGGAGAGGGACATAATTGGGCAGAGGCATAGAGAAGTGTGAAAGAGGGAGAGCGGGATGGATGAAGGGGGGGGGAGAGATACAGAGAGAAGGGGGGAGAGAGCAGTCAGGCCAGCTTGGACTTCAAGAAGTGAGTGTTGTAGATCGCTGGATGAAGGACTGCTGTTGAGAAGAATCCCACTGTCCTGCCTCAGGTGACACACTCCCTTAGTTCACGCAAAGGCCAAAGGTCACACAGCACAGGTAAGTGCTAAAGCAGGTGTGTCCTCAGGCAACCAGAGCACCAGGACAGGGCTCAGCTTCCTCCTGAAAGACAAACAGGAGCAGAACGCAACCAAAGAGTGATTATTTGATTCAAAATGGTGGTAAACTTATCTTCAATAAAACTCTAAATGGGTCTGTTCTGTATCTTGATCTGTCACAGGACTAGTGCATGCTTTGACAGACCAAAGACTTCATGTAAGAAGACTGCTGTATATTGACCTTATGAGTATCGCAAAAACAAAGATTTGTTTGCAGGCAACCATAATTTCAAACCATGCCACAATCATGTTGTTTTTCATTTATTTGAGCCCACGATTGACGATGGGGGAACAGCTAGTTATCATATCTGTCTCTCTATTTTCTGAAGTGAGACGGGGGATCAGCTAGTTTGGTAACGTAGCCTAATTGGCGTTGTTTGTTGAACCGTTACTTTAGCTAGCTAGCACACCAGCACCGTAAAAACTCAAACCCCCACAGATCCTTTTTATTGAACCGAAATGGCCACGCTCTCCTACGTAATGTAATGCTATTTATGATCATCGTAAAATAACTCACTTATCAATTGTAGAGAATAAATCAGATGCTCATCAACGCCAAAATCTGAATCGGAAAGACACCTTTAGGCGACGCAACGTAAACATCCTTCCCATTGGTCCATCTTCTTCTTCTTCTGTGGGTTTTATGGCGGACTACATCCAAAAGTTGTATTGCCGCCACCAACTGGACGGTTTTAAACCACAAAATATATCAAATAAAAAATAAATCCATACTTACTAGTGCTACAAACTTACTCCACCCTAATAAAAATAGTACATTGACAAAACAAACAAAAACTCCAACTTCTTCCTTTTAGTTCTCCACATCTCCCTTCTCAGGCTCTGCGACCTGATAGAGTGATACGGCTTTTGCCAATATTCCATGTAACAAAAGAAAATCCATACATAATAGGGAAACTAACTAAATCCACCCGAATAAAATAGTACATTGACAAAACAAAACTCCCATTTCTTCCTTTTAAATCTCCATATCTCCCTTCTCAGTCTCTTAGGCCTGAGATTGTAGTACGGCTTTTGACAATATTCCATAACTCTTTTGCAGAGAAATCTTGCAGCCCCAGGAACCGTTCCGCCTCAACCACAATGATTTATATGTTCCTAGATCTTTTCTCCACCTTGGCAGTGGTATTAATCACCATTTAAAATATCAGGATCATCTTGCTGCAACCCCTGCAGCATTGAAGGCCTATCCACCACCATGGACCCTTCAGGAGCACCATTCAAACCCTCAACCCTTTTAACCGCTGCTGCATAGGAAATGCAATGTGCAACCCTAACTTTGGCCACCTCATTTTCTTTCACCCTTGTCGGGCATTCAAAAGACGTGGTTCATTGTTCCCACCTCAATTGCAACATTTCATTTTTTCATCACTTTTATAACACATTAAATGATATTTTCCACAACGTGGACATCTCGGTTTCTCCCTTCTGCAAACCCTTGACACTTGACCAAAAGCTTTAAAGTGATCACACTGTATGGGTCAAGGGATAAATGCTCTGACTTTGTAGTTTATATACCCCAACTGCACTTGAGTAGGGAGAGACTCCATATCAAAACACTAAAGAACAGATAAACTCTTCACTTTTTCATCATTCCCCAATCGATTCATCCGACGTGAATCAAACACTACAGGAATATTTTTCATCTCTTTAACATCGACTTCCCACAAGACGCAAGATATTACCCCCTTGAGGGGTGCCCTGTTCGGAAGAGACAGACGCCACAGGTCAAACTTTTCAAATCCGGAGAGCCGCAACAAACGTTCCATTGGTCCATCCATTGCCACACCCACTTATGACGTATCACGTTCCACCAGTTTTTCCGGATGTGCGTCAACACGTCGTGTGTTATAGCTAGCATGTTCTTAAAGTGAAGCAAACACTACTGTTCAGGAGGTGACATTCTGTTTTATCAAGCGCTCATGCGTTGCTAGCTAACTATGTTTTTTGGTTTGCGGCATTTACAGTGCTTAAAATGCCGACACACTTACCTCACAGCTAGTTAACGTTACTCCACAAAGCTGTCAGTGTTAGCCAGCTGCATTACGAGAGGTAACGTTAGCTAAAAGCGGAACGTCGGTCTACGCGTTCTTAGCACTGAAACTGGCCGTCATGGGAGGCGTGCGCTGGGCGTTCCGGTGTGGTTCGTGGACGCCGACCCGCTCTGAGTGGCTGCTGGCGGCCCGGTGTGTGCAGCACGAGGAGAAAGAGCGAATCGGACAGTTCATGTTTGCCAAAGATGCCAAATCAGCCATGGTGCGTTGACCGTGTTATTCCGATATAAAGTAGTCACTGTGCCATGTTCTCCCTTGATTATCAAATAGCAATTTTCAATGCACTAGGTTTTTGTAACTTCCCAGCAGTGACACACCTGATTCTACTAATCATCAGGCCTTGATTAATCATATCAACTAGGTGTGTCAGGCAAGGGTGAGATTGGGACACATATAGTACGTTGAAATTGGTGGGGAAACATCCAACTGGGAGGTGTGATCATTGTCAGGAGGAGATGGAGGCAGTGGAACATGTTATATTTCAGTGCCAGAAATATGGGAGGGAAAGGGAGCGATTGTTATTAGATTTGAAGAGTAATGGGGTTGAAGAGCCAAGATTAAGTTAACTGCTGGGGAAATCTTCCGGGGATCTAGTATTTAATTATGTATTTCGTTTCCTTAGGGAGACGAATATTCGGTAGGATTTAGACCTTCCCTGTCGCTGGTCCACACTCCAGTCCAGTTGGTGGCGATAATTCACCTTAAAGTTGGTTGCCAATGGCCAAAGAAATCCACAGAAGAAGATGATGCGTCAGAGTTACCGTTCACTGGAGAGAGGAGTGGCAGCAGTGCCCACCCTTATTGACGCTCTCTTTCTTCCCTGCTCTCCCAGGCTGGCAGGTTGTTGTTGAGGAGGTTGGTGTGTGACAGGATGGGTGTTCCATGGGCTGACATCCGCCTGGAGCGTTCTCCCAGAGGAAAGCCCTACCTGGCCAGCCCAGCCTGCTCCAGCCCTGAATCCGTGGGCTGGAGTTTTAACATCTCCCACCAGGGTGACTATGCTGTGCTGGCTGCAGAGCAGGGGCTGCAGGTCGGGGTCGACGTGATGAAGACCAACATGCCAGGTGTGTGTGTCTGCGCGTGCGTGCACATTGGCTTTCTTTAGTGCTTTGTGTGTCAGTTTGATTAAATGAGCAGCATTGAGAAGAGCTCACTCTGACAGTAAACTGTCTTACTGCCTCCTGAACCTTTCTATCTCCCCTGTTCCTGTTTTGTGTGTATGCGAGAGAGAAGTAACCCTCTTATCCTGTATAACTCCCCTGCTTGAGTCTCTCTATTTCACCCTTCTCACCACATCTCATTTGGCGTCCTCCTCTCCAAGCCTTCAGGACGCTAATCTGCTAATCCCAGTCCTGTCACTCACCCAGACCTTCTCCCAAATTCCCCTTTATAATCACCAAATCCCCTTAAAATAGGCCTAGACCTCTTCATCTGAAATGGTTGAGCGTTCTACATAGCCTCCTTCCCTGGAGAAAAAGAATAAGGACGACGATACCTTAAAGCACTTACCTTCCACATTGCCCCCCAGGGAGAATAGCTAGCTAGGCCCTTTAAACCTTATCGATGGGCTGTCATTCACAAATCCCTATATAAAGTCAGGGGACTTTAATGCAGGGAAACTTAAATCTGTTCTACCTAATATCTATCAGCATGTTAAATGTGCAACCAGAGGAAAAAAAACTCTAGACCACCTTTACTCCACACACACAGATGCATACAAAGCTCTCCCTCGCACTCCATTTGGCAAATCTGACCATAACTCTATCCTCCTGATTCCTGCTTACAAGCAAAAACTAAAGCAGGAAGCACCAGTGACTCGGTCAATAAAAGAGTGGTCAGATGACACAAAGCTAAGCTACAGGACTGTTTTGCTAGCACAGACTGGAACATGTTCCGGGATTCTTCAGATAGCATTGAGGAGTACACCACATCAGTCACTGGCTTCATCAATAAGTGCATCGATGACGTCGTCCCCACAGTGATCGTACGTACATACCAGAAGCCATGGATTACAGGCAACATCCGCACTGAGCTAAAGGCTAGAGCTGCCGCTTTCAAAGAGCGGGACTCTAACCCGGAAGCTTATAAGAAATCCCGCTATGCCCTTCGACGAACCATCAACCAGGCAAAGTGTCAATACAGGACTAAGATTGAATCGTACTACACCGGCTCTGACGCTCGTCGGATGTGTCAGGGCTTGAAAACTATTACAGACTACAAAGGGAAGCACAGCCGCGATCTGCCCAGTGACACAAGCCTACCAGATGAGCTAAATCACTTCTATGCTCGCTTCGAGGCAAGCAACACTGAAGCATGCATGAGAGCACCAGCTGTTCCGGATGACTATGTGATCACGCTCTCCGTAGCCGATGTGAGTAAGATTTTTAAGCAGGTCAACATTCACAAGGCCGCAGGGCCAGACGGATTACCAGGACGTGTACTCCGAGCATGTGCTGACCAACTGGCAAGTGTCTTCACTGACATTTTCAACATGTCCTTGACCGAGTCTGTAATACCTACATGTTTCAAGCAGACCGCCATAGTCCCTGTGCCCAAGAACACCAAGATAACCTGCCTAAATGACTACCGACCCGTAGCACTCACGTCTGTAGCCATGAAGTGCTTTGAAAGGCTGGTCATGGCTCACATCAACACCATTATCCCAGAAACCCTAGACCCACTCCAATTTGCATGCCTCCCCAACAGATCCACAGATGATGCAATCTCTATTGCACTCCACACTGCCCTTTCCCATCTGGACAAGAGGAACACCTATGTGAGAATGCTATTCATTGACTACAGCTCAGCGTTCAACACCATAGTGCCCTCAAAGCTCATCACAAAGCTAAGGATCCTGGGACTAAACACCTCCCTCTGCAACTGGATCCTGGACTTCCTGACGGGCCGCCCCCAGGTGGTAAGGGTAGGTAACAACACGTCTGCCACGCTGATCCTCAACACAGGGGCCCCTCCTGTACTTCCTGGTCACCCATGACTGCATGGCCAGGCACGACTCCAACACCATCATTAAGTTTGCAGACGACACAACAGCGGTAGGCCTGATCACCGACAACGATGAGACAGCCTATAGGGAGGAGGTCAGAGACCTGGCCGTGTGGTGCCAGGATAACAACCTCTCCCTCAATGTGATCAAGACAAAGGAGATGATTGTGGACTACAGGAAAAGAAAGAGGAACAAGCACGCCCCCATTCTCATCGACGGGGCTGTAGTGGAACAGGTTGAGAGCTTCAAGTTCCTTGGTGTCCACATCACCAACGAACTATCATGGTCCAAACACACCAAGACAGTCGTGAAGAGGGCACGACAAAACCTATTCCCCCCCAGGAGACTGAAAAGATTTGGCACGGGTCCTCAGATCCTCAAAAAGTTCTACAGCTGCACCATCGAGAGCATCCTGACTGGTTGCATCACCTCCTGGTATGGCAACTGCTCGCCCTCCGACTGCAAGGCACTACAGAGATAGTGCGTACGGCCCAGTACATCACTGGGGCCAAGCTTCCTGCCATACAGGACCTCTATACCAGGCTGTGTCAGAAGAAGACCCTAAAAATTGTCAAAGACTCAAGCCACCCTAGTCATGGACTGTTCTCTCTGCTACCGCACAGCAAGCGGTACCGGAGCTCCAAGTCTAGGTCCAAAAGGCTTCTCAACAGTTTCTACCCCCAAGCCATAAGACTCCTGAACAGCTAATCGTGGCTACCCAGACTATTTGCAAATGGCTACCCTCTCTTTTACGCTGCTGCTACTCTGTTTACTATTTATGCATAGTCACTTTAACTCTACCCACATGTACAGTGGGGAAAAAAGTATTTAGTCAGCCACCAATTGTGCAAGTTCTCCCACTTAAAAAGATGAGAGAGGCCTGTAATTTTCATCATAGGTACACGTCAACTATGACAGACAAAATGAGGAAAGAAAATCACATTGTAGGATTTTTTATGAATTTATTTGCAAATTATGGTGGAAAATAAGTATTTGGTCAATAACAAAAGTTTCTCAATACTTTGTTATATACCCTTTGTTGGCAATGACACAGGTCAAACGTTTTCTGTAAGTCTTCACAAGGTTTTCACACACTGTTGCTGGTATTTTGGCCCATTCCTCCATGCAGATCTCCTCTAGAGCAGTGATGTTTTGGGGCTGTCGCTGGGCAACACAGACTTTCAACTCCCTCCAAAGATTGTCTATGGGGTTGAGATCTGGAGACTGGTTAGGCCGCTCCAGGACCTTGAAATGCTTCTTACGAAGCCAGTCCTTCGTTGCCCGGGCGGTGTGTTTGGGATCATTGTCATGCTGAAAGACCCAGCCACGTTTCATCTTCAACGCCCTTGCTGATGGAAGGAGGTTTTCACTCAAAATCTCACGATACATGGCCCCATTCATTCTTTCCTTTACACGGATCAGTCGTCCTGGTCCCTTTGCAGAAAAACAGCCCCAAAGCATGATGTTTCCACCCCCATGCTTCACAGTAGGTATGGTGTTCTTTGGATGCAACTCAGCATTCTTTGTCCTCCAAACACGACGAGTTGAGTTTTTACCAAAAAGTTATATTTTGGTTTCATCTGACCATATGACATTCTCCCAATCCTCTTCTGGATCATCCAAATGCACTCTAGCAAACTTCAGACGGGCCTGGACATGTACTGGCTTAAGCAGGGGGACACGTCTGGCACTGCAGGATTTGAGTCCCTGGCGGCGTAGTGTGTTACTGATGGTAGGCTTTGTTACTTTGGTCCCAGCTCTCTGCAGGTCATTCACTAGGTCCCCCCGTGTGGTTCTGGGATTTTTGCTCACCGTTCTTGTGATCATTTTGACCCCACGGGGTGAGATCTTGCGTGGAGCCCCACATCGAGGGAGATTATCAGTGGTCTTGTATGTCTTCCATTTCCTAATAATTGCTCCCACAGTTGATTTCTTCAAACCAAGCTGCTTACCTATTGCAGATTCAGTCTTCCCAGCCTGGTGCAGGTCTACAATTTTGTTTCTGGTGTCCTTTGACAGCTCTTTGGTCTTGGCCATAGTGGAGTTTGGAGTGTGACTGTTTGAGGTTGTGGACAGGTGTCTTTTATACTGATAACAACTTCAAACAGGTGCCATTAATACAGGTAACGAGTGGAGGACAGAGGAGCCTCTTAAAGAAGAAGTTACAGGTCTGTGAGAGCCAGAAATCTTGCTTGTTTGTAGGTGACCAAATACTTATTTTCCACCATAATTTGCAAATAAATTCATTAAAAATCCTACAATGTGATTTTCTGGAATTCTTTTCCTCAATTTGTCTGTCAAAGTTGACGTGTACCTATGATGAAAATTACAGGCCTCTCTCATCTTTTTAAGTGGGAGAACTTGCACAATTGGTGGCTGACTAAATACTTTTTTCCCCCACTGTACATATGACCTCAATTACCTCGACTAGCCGGTGCCCCCGCACATTGACTCTGTACCGGTACCCCCCCTGTATATAGCCTCCCTACTGTTATTTTATTTTACTGCTGCTCTTTAGCTATTTGTGTTTATTTTCTATTTTTCTTTAATTTACACTTTATTTAAAAAATTTATTTTAAAAAACTGCATTGTTGGTTAAGGGCTTGTAAGTAAGCATTTCATTGTAATGTATACACCTGCTGTATTCGGCGCATGTGGCAAATACATTTTGATTTGATCCATTGTACAAAGTCATCTAAAGGATTTCTTCCAAGTGTCCTGCAGATCCTTTCTTTACCACATGATGCCGCTGTTGTCTTTCGTATTCCCTGAGAGCAATTTGGCAGCGCTCCAACACAGGGATCTCCTGCCTCTTCCCATTCCGTCTGTGTGTTTTAAAGATGGTTGGAGGAGAAAAAGTCATGATCCCAAACAAAGTAGGAGTGTCTGTGTTGCTTTTCTCTCCATTTCAACCTCTTCTCCCTCAACTTTTCCTTACTGTCAGAGCTCAAACCCTCAGGTTTGTGTTTATTTTATTATAAACTGTTTTTTCCCTGTACCCCACTCTCTCTCCCTCCCTCTGTCTCCAGGTAGCAGTTCTGTCCCAGAGTTTTTCCGTATCATGACGAGGCAGTTTACGGAGTATGAGTGGAGTGTTATCCGCGGAGCAGGATCAGAATGGGAGCAACTGACCATGTTCTACAGACACTGGGTAACCATGGCGATACATGCATCACTCTCACATCCATGGTGATATATGATACACACGCTAGACTTGCACACTGAGTCATACACATTACATGCAGGGGCAGGGACCCCCCCCCAGTCGAGAAGTTGTCAGATTGAGAGAGAGCAGCACAAGGACATCAAGTACTGATATCATCGCTGTTGACTAATCTTACTGCTTTCCCGTTGCCATAGTGACTTGCCTTGTAATCCTGTTACTGTGGCTTGCCTTCGTGTAACAAGGTTTGTTTGACTTCAGAGACTCATCCACACACACCATGATCATCACACATAGAACCCTGTGTCATTGCCTGGACTTCCGAGACACATCCACACACACACACCATGATCATCACACACAGAACCCTGTGTCATTGCCTGGGACAGGGAAAGTGTTCAACCTGATAAGTGATGGTTTTGAATGCCTTATGGGTACACCAATGGTTGTTCACCATTTTAAATTATTATTGTGTACAGGCAGTGCCTTCAGAAAGCAATCATACCCCTTGACTTATTACACATTTAGTTGTTACAGCCTGAATTCAAAATGAATTAAATTGTTTTTTTCCCTCACACAGTACACCATAATGAAAAAGTGAAAACATGTTTTTAGAAATGTTAGCACATTTATTGAAAATGAAATGCAGAAATATCTCATTTACATAAGTATTCACACCCCTGAGTAAATAGTCGTGGTCAAAAGTTTTGAGAATGACACAAGTATTGGTCTTCACAAAGTTCGCTGCTTCAGTGTTATGAGATATTTTTGTCAGATGTTACTATGGTATACTGAAGTATAATTACACGCATTCCATAAGGGTCAAAGGCTTTTATTGACAATTACATTAAGTTTATGCAAAGAGTCAATATTTGCAGTGTTGATCCTTCTTTTTCAAGACCTCTGCAATCCGCCCTGGCATGCTGTCAATTAACTTCTCGGCCACATCCTGACTGATGGCAGCCCATTCTTGCATAATCAATGCTTGGAGTTTGTCACAATTTTGGATTTTTGTTTGTCCACCCGCTTGAGGATTGACCACAAGTTCTCAATGGGATTAAGGTCTGGGGAGTTTCCTGGCCATGGACCCAAAATTTCGATGTTATGTTCCCCGAGCCACTTAGTTATCACTTTTGCCTAATGGCAAGGTGCTCCTTCATGCTGGAAAATGCATTGTTTGTCACCAAACTGTTCTTGGATGGTTGGGAGAAGTTGCTCTCGGAGGATGTTTTGGTACCATTCTTTATTCATGGCTGTGTTCTTAGGCAAAATTGTGAGTGAGCCCACTCCCTTGGCTGAGAAGCAACCCCACACATGAATGGTCTCAGGATGCTTTACTGTTTCTCCGGACAAGGTGTTTTCCGGATGCCCCAAACATTTGGAAAGGGGATTCATCAGAGAAAATGACTTTACCCCAGTCCTCAGCAGTCCAATCCCTGTACCTTTTGCAGAATATCAGTCTGTCCCTGATGTTTTTCCTGGAGAGAAGTGGCTTCCTCGCTGCCCTTCTTGACACCAGGCCATCCTCCAAAAGTCTTTGCCTCACTGTGCGTGCAGATGCACTCACACCTGCCTGCTGTCATTCCTGAGCAAGCTCTGCACTGGTGGTGCCCCAATCCCGCAGCTTAATCAACTTTAGGAGACGTCCTGGCGCTTGCTGTACTGTCCTGGGTGCCCTGAAGCCTTCTTCACAACAATTGAACCTCTTTCCTTGAAGTTCTTGATGATCCGATAAATGGTTGATTTAGGTGCAATCTTACTAGCAGCAATATCCTTGCCTGTGAAGCCCTTTTTGTGCAAAGCAATGATGACGGCACGTGTTTCCTTGCAGGTAACCATGGTTAACAGAGGAAGAACAATGATTTCAAGCACCACCCTTCTTTTAAAGCTTCCAGTCTGTTATTCTAACTCAATCACCATGACAGAGTGATCTCCAGCCTTGTCCTCATTGACACTCAGCCCTGTGTTAACGAGAGAATCACTGACATGATGTCAGCTGGTCCTTTTGTGGCAGGGCTGAAATGCAGTGGAAATGTTTTTGGGGGATTAAGTTCATTTTCATGGCAAAGAGGGACTTTGCAATTAATTGCAATTCATCTGATCACTCTTCATAACATTCTGGAGTATATGCAAATTGCCATCATAAAAACTGAGGCAGCAGACTTTGAAAATGTATATTTGTGTCATTCTCAAAACTTTTGACCATGACTGTTAGAATCCCCTTTGGCAGTGACTACAGCTGGGTAAGTCTTTCTGGGTAAGTCTCAAAGAGATTTGCACACCTGGATTGTACAATTTTTGCACATTTATTATTTTTACAATTCAAGCTCGGTCAAGTTGGTTGTTGATCATTGCTAGACAGCCATTTTCAAGTCTTGCCGTAGATTTTCAAGCAGATTTAAGTCAACTGTAACTAGACCACTCAGGAACATTCAATGTAGTCTTGGTAAGCAACTTCAGTGTATATTTGGCCTTTTTTTAGGTCATTGTCCTGCTGAAAGGTGGATTTGTCTCCCATGGTCTGTTGGAAAGCAGACTGAACCAAGTTTTCCTCTAGGATTTTGCCTGTGCTTAGCTCTATTCCATTAACTTTTATCCTAAAAAAAAACTCTATAGTCCATGCCGATAACAAGCATACCGATAACATGATGCAGCCACCACTATGCTTGAAAATATGAAGAGTGGTACTCAGTGATGTGTTGTTGGATTTGCCCCAAATATTCAGAACATAAAGTTATTTTCTTTGCCACATTTTACGCAGTTTTACTTTAGTGCCTTTAGTGAGTTTTTTTGGAATATTTTTAATCTGTACAAGCTTCCTTCTTTTCACTCGGTCAATTAGCTTAGTATTGTCGAGTAACGACTGTTGTTGATTTATCCTCAGTTTTCTCCTATCACAGCCAATATCTCTGTAACTGTTTTAAAGTCACTGTTGGCCTCATGGTGATATCCCTGAGCGGTTTCCTTCCTCTCCGGCAACTGAGTTAGGAAGGTTGCCTGTATATTTTTATTGACTGGGTGTATTGATACACCATCCAAAGTGTTAATAACTTCACCATGCTCAAAGGGATATTCAGTCTCCCTTTTTTGTTTGTTTTGTTTACCCATCTACCAATAGGTGCCCTTCTTTGCGAGTCATTGGGAAACCTCCCTGGTCTTTGTGGTTGAATCTGTGTTTGAAACTGCTCGATTGAGGGACCTTACAGATAATTGTATGTGTGGGGTACAGAGATGAGGAAGTCATTCAAAAATCATGTTGAACACTTTAATTGCACACAGAGTGAGTAGACTTATGTGACTTGTTAAGCAAATTTGTACTCCTGAACTTATTTAGGCTTGCCATAACAAAGGGTTTAAATACTTATTGACTCAAGACATTTAAAGCTTTTCAGTTTTAATTAATTTCAAAACATAATTCCACTTTGACATTATGGGGTATTGTGTGTAGACCAGTGACGCAATCTCAATTTAATCCATTTTATATTCAGGCTGTAACGCAAACATTTTGGGGAAAAAGTCAAGTGGTGTAAATACTTTGTTAAGGCACTGTGTAATCTCTCTTATATACAATAAGATCACTTTAACTGTATTCTTTTTACTCTTCGTCTGATATTTTCGTGGCTCTGATTGGTTGTCTTTCCTGTCCGTCAAGGCGTTGAAGGAAAGCTTCATCAAGGCGATTGGCACAGGGCTGGGCTTTAACCTACAGAGGGCAGAGTTTCACCTCTCACCTGAGCCAATCGCAGAGGGCAAGGTGTGTCGCCGGACCACAATGCACCTGGACGAAGAGGAAGAGGAGGTCTGGACCTTCGAGGTGAGCAGGGTCCAGTGGTTGTGGAGGGAAGGAGATGGGATCAGGAAGAGTAAAGAAAGTTCAAGAGTATCCAACCATCTCCTGCTCTTTTCTGTGTATCCAACACACTATCACAGATTATCGCAAAATAGACACAAATTACTTATTCGAAATTCGTGACAGGCACACACATTTTTTTCGTGTCCACCACGCAATTTTCTTCATAACGCATTCGTGTCCAGTACACAATTTTCTTGTTGTTGTAATGTTAGCTAGGTTAGGGGTTAAGGTTAGGTATGAGGGGTAGGGTTAGCTAACATGCTAGCTAAGTAGTTAAAAAGTAGTAAGTAGTTGCTAAAATGCTAAAGTTGTCATAATATGATTCGAACAAGCAACGGTTGGGTTGCTCGACCTTCGCGTTATATGCCCACCCATCCTCCACGATCGTTTCTGTATTAAGTAACCTACTGCCTTCATCAGTGATTGAAATGCACTGTATACAAAATCGTGTGGTGAACATTAACATTTGTAAAAAAAAATATATATATATATATAATGCGTGTCGCTGTCACGAATTTCACAAAAGTCTATTTCACTATAATTTGTGATTAGTGGGTTTATGTATTACAGACACGCTAAACAGCAGGTGGTTTATAGTAATCTTCTTTTTGGCAGCAGCTCAAACGCCGTTCCAATTCCACTAACAGCAGCTTGGCGGGGTCTCTTTAGCAGCTATAGCTTACACTATACCTCTTCAATTTAATCAGTTAGCTTCAACGTTTCCCACTAAAGCTAATGCTATCCTGCTCCAATGTCATCAGTTAGCATTAACGTTACCCACTAAAGCTAATGCTATCCTGCTCCAATTTAATCACTTAGCTTTAGCATTACCCAGTAAAACTAATGCTATCCTGCTCCAATTTCGTCAGTTAGCTTTAGAGTTACCCACTAAAGCTATTGCTATCCCTATTGCCACTAACAGATTAGCAAGGTCTTGTTAGCGGCTAATATCGCGTATGGCAATCTCTTTGTCTCTTTGTGATTGGGATCTTAGCATACGCACAAACACGTACTCTGGCACTCCCTCTGTCTCAGAATCTTTGAATTCTCTAACAATGTATCCTTGAAAGCATTTGTAAAGTGCTTTTCTAGGAAATACTGGAGACTAGGATGGTGTCAGTACCTCTCACACCAAGGCTTTAGAGTTGTACAAAGTGACCTCCTTTCCTTGTCTCCTTTCCTCATCTCCTTCCTTTCAGCCACACTAGTCTGAAAAGCTACTGTATGTCAGGGGAAAGCAGTATTTTGAAAACCTATTGGGTGGGTTGGATCTCACCTTTAAAGCTGAAAAGAATGAATGGTCCATAACAGAATTCGCTCTTTCCTCTTTGGACTGGTTTGTCGGCATAATGGTGTTTTGGTGTTTCTGTTGTGAGACTTCTGTCACCAGAGAATATCAACACACCTATTGATCGCCAGCTCAGGGACAGTACAGCTGCACTATGGATCTGCTTCTGAGATGTTTTCTAAATGGAAGAGGGAGGGGGGGGGACGGACGGACGGACGGAGCGAGCGAGCTAGCTAGGGAGGACTGGGAGAAAACTAACTGCCCAATTTAGGGAGCACCAGAGACAAGGTTTCAGTACTCGTACCAAGGGATCAAAATCATCACATTTTGACCTGTCACTGTTTGCTGGGTCAAGCGCGCACAAACACTTTTTTACCTGAGTGAGCTGTTAAGTTAATGTTTTAAGTATCCCTATATTTCTGTTATTACGGTGCTATCGCTCTGTTGTTAGTATGCCTGCGCGGTAGTCTCACTGTTGATGGACCTGGCCTGAGTGCGATGGCAACCATGTACTGTGGAAATACGGTAAAGTCAACGTTGTTAAACTGGAACCTAGTCGTTGTCATTTTGAAGTTAACATTTGTAGCAGAGGATGGTTCATAACTACAATGTGCCACCTCGCTTTGACGAGAAGAGGTCGTACGAAAGTTGTAAAAATGAACTTGGAATCTGGACACGGGTTACTAATCTGGACGAGAAAAAGCAAGCACTTGCGGTGGTATTATCGCTCGAGGGAAGAGCGAGAGATACAGCACTGGAAATATCCCTTGATATGGAACCTAGTCGTTGTGTCATTTTAAGTTAACATGAGCAAGAGGAGAGAGAGAATATCCTTGTCCCCCCCCCCTTCCTCTCTCTCTGCCATATTGATAAGAGTAATGAGATGCAACTAGGATGCTAGACTTCACATCTGCTAAGGTCTGCAGAATGAATGTTTGTTCCAGATAGGGTGAATAACTCCACAGAAACACCTGTCACATACACACACACACACACACACACACACACACACACAGACAGACGCAGAATTAACATACAGATGAGGCAAGCAGCAGTGCTCACCTGGTGCCATCTGACCCCTGAACGCTGCGTATTGATTGGCTGGCTTAATGAGGTGGCGACCCAGGTCTTTCCACTTCCTGGTGACCCTGTGTAATGTCACGACCCCACTGTGTCATAATGAGGTCATGACATTTGGTAGTGAGGGAATTAACAAGAGGACTCATGAACAGTGGTGGAAAAAGTACCCAATTGTCATACTTGAGTAAAAGTAAAGATACCTTAAAAGAAAATGACTCAAGTGAAAGTCACCCAGTAAAATACTACTTGAGTAAAAGTATTTGGTTTTAAATATACTTAAGTATCAAAAGTAAAAGTATAAATCATTTCAAATTCTTTATATTAAGCAACCCATACGGCACAATTTTTTATTTAATTTATTTTACAGATAGCCAGGGGCACACTTCAACAGCCAGACATAATTTAAAAATGAAGCATTTGTGTTTGGTGAGTCTGCCAGATCAGAGGCAGTAGGGATGACCAGGGATGTTCTCTTGATTAGTGGGTGAATTAGACAATTAGACAAGTACTTTTGGGTGTCAGGGAAAATGTATGGAGTAAAAAGTACATTATTTTCTTTAGGAATGTAGTGAAGTAAAAGTTTTTAAATATAAATAGTAAAGTACAGATACCCCAAAAAACTACTCGAGTAGTACTTTAAAGTATTTTTACTTAAGTACTTTACACCACTGCTCAAGTACACAAACACACAGAGGGTTTATTACAACTCATACATGTACACAGACAAATACACACAAACACACTGTCACAATTATTTAACTCTTATCTGGACAGTTAAAGATGGGCAGTAGGGAAACGGCGCCCCTGTCCGCCCCACCACCTTCATTGTTTTTGCTTTGTCTGGGAGAGAGAAAAAGTCTGTTTGCAGTAACTTCTTTGTTGTAGTATCACAAACGGACGTGGCAGGGAGTCGTCCTTCCATAAATGTCGATTAAAAAAATAAAATAAATGAACAGGAGATACAGATGGAGGTTCTTAATTTGAGCCAGTTTGCTACAGCAAGAAAATAATCCTGGTGTAACAGGAAATGTGGATTATAATTAATGGACATTTTTGTAGTGGTTGATACATTTCAAAGTGCAAATTACAAACTTCAGAAGCCTTTTTAAACCTCAAATACACCACAAGTTTTAAATGTCCTGCATTGCAGGAAAGTTATCCTGCAACAGGGTGATCAAATTTAGATCCTACACCTGTAACCTCCCTCCCCTTAAAAAGTAAAGGAGTGAGGCTGTCCGACTGGGCCTATGATTAGGGCCAACTGTGTGGAATGAAAGCGGGAGAGGGGAACCGGGATGATAAATAGCCAGTATTAGGACACTGATGTGTTAGAATGGAGAGAGGAGAGGTGTGTGGCTGGATGCATGCGTGATCCTTTCGGTAAAGGAGAGCTATTTGTCACCTTAATCACTCGTATAAGCCAACACCTATAACCTCATTCTGTTTGTATGTTGTGTATATGTGTGTATTTCATGTAAACATTTGTGTGTTTGTTTAACTGCTCCTGTCCTCTTCAGGAGAGTGTGTTGGGTAAGGACCACCATGTTGCTGTGGCAATGGGACCAAACCATACAGTCAGATCTGTGGTGAGTCATAGGAGTGTGTGTGTGTGTGTGGGAATGTAAGTGAGACTGTGTTTTCAGTACAATGAAGTAGATTACTAACCTCCCCTTCTTTTTCCTTAGACTCCCCCTGCCCTCACCTCTCCTCCCCCCTCCTTCACCTTCCTCTCCTTCAGTGACCTCATCAGCATGGCCACACCCCTCTTTGAAGAAGACTCCGCCTACTGGGAGAGCTTCCAGAATAAGGCTGAAGCCCCGGAAAGACAGAGACTCACGCCTATAGTATGAGGAAGACAGGTTAGGGTAGGACTGTGGGTAGAGTAATCTGATCCTAGATCTGTGGTTAGTGGAGACATCAACCTGACCATGGAAACAATTGTACTGGTGAGGTGGAGTGGTCAATGGGCGGATAGGTGATGTCACTCCTGTTGATCTCCATGCAGGATCGTACGGGAACAGTCGGTGAACAGCAGGGTTGGTGTTACTGAGGTACCTGGAGGTGCTGGCCACTTACACAACAAATCAGGTTTAAGCATTAAAATAACGTTGGTCCCCAGACCAACCCCAGAGTCAATGTGTTAGTCAAATGCCAGTGATGAGAAATGTTCCACTACTGCCAATTGCTCTTAATCATGGTATTTGATGATAATAAAGCCATCACAGTAATACTATTTAAGATCTGTGTGTGTGTGGGGAAGGGGGTATTGATTTTGTAGGTTGCAATCACCTGAATTGATTGTGATCATCTGTCAATACTACAAAGTTGTTGACCAACCTCCCTGTAATGTGATTAAAGGTTTGTATAGCTTCTTACTATAGGCTTTGCTGACCTCCTTCCCTATCCAGTCATGTCCATTCCTGTATGGCTCAGTCGGTAGAGCATGGTGCTTTCACCGCCAGGGTTGTGGGTTCGATTCCTGGGGCCACCCATACATAAAGTCGCTTTGGATAAAGCGTCTGCTAAATGGCATATACTGAACAAAAATATAAATGCAACATTTCAAGGATTTTACTTAGTTACAGTTCATATAAGGAAATCAGTCAATTGAAATAAATTCATTAGGCACTAATCTATGGATTTCACATTACTGGGAATAGAGAGATGCATTTGTTGGTCACAGATACCTTTAAAAAAGGTAGGGGTGTGGATCAGAAAACCAGTCAGTATCTGGTGACCATTTGCCTCATGCGGCGCGACATCTCTTTCGGAGAGTTGATCAGGCCACTCCTCTTCAATGGCTGTGCGAAGTTGCTGTATATTGGTGGGAACTGGAACATGCTGTCATAAACGTTGATCCAGAGCATCCCGAACATGCTCAATGGGTGACATGTCTGGTGAGTATGCAGGCCATGAAAGAACTGGGACATTTTCAGCTTCCAGGAGTTGTGTACAGATCCTTGCGACATGGGGCCGTGCATTATCATGCTGAAACATGAGGTGATTGCGGCGGATTTATTTTATTTTATTTTTTATTTCACCTTTATTTAACCAGGTAAGCCAGTTGAGAACAAGTTCTCATTTACAACCGCGACCTGGCCAAGATAAAGCAAAGCAATGCGATAAAAACAACAACACAGTTACATATGGGGTAAAACAAAACATAAAGTCAAAAATACCACAGAAAATATATATACAGTGTGTGCAAATGTAGCAAGTTATGGAGGTAAGGCAATAAATAGGCCATAGTGCAAAATAATTACAATTAGTATTAACACTGGAATGATAGATGTGCAAGAGATGATGTGCAAATAGAGATACTGGGGTGCAAATGAGCAAAATAAATAACAATATGGGGATGAGGTAGTTGAGTGGGCTAATTTCAGAAGGGCTGTGTACAGGTGCAGTGATCGGTAAGCTGCTCTGACAACTGACGATTAAAGTTAGTGAGGGAGATGAGTCTCCAGCTTCAGATATTTTTGCAGTTCGTTCCAGTCATTGGCAGCCAAAGGAGGTGTTGGCTTTGGGGATGACCAGTGAGATACACCTGCTGGAGCGCATAATATGGGTGGGTGTTGCTATGGTGACCAATGAGCTAAGATAAGGTGGAGATTTGCCTAGCAGTGATTTATAGATGGCCTGGAGCCAGTGGGTTTTGCGACGAATATGTAGTGAGGACCAGCCAACAAGAGCGTACAGGTCACAGTGGTGGGTAGTATATAGGGCTTTGGTGACAAAACGGATGGCACTGTGATAGACTACATCCAATTTGCTGAGTAGAGTGTTGGAGGCTATTTTGTAAATGACATCGCCGAAGTCAAGGATCGGTAGGATAGCATGTTTGGCAGCATGAGTGAAGGAGGCTTTGTTGCAAAATAGGAAGCCGATTCTAGATTTCACTTTGGATTGGAGATGCTTAATGTGAGTCTGGAAGGAGTTTACAGTCTAACCAGACAGCTAGGTATTTGTAGTTGACTAGACCCGTCGAGAGTAGTGATTCTAGTCAGGTGGGCGGGTGCCAACAGCGTTCGATTGAAGAGCATGCATTTAGTTTTACTAGCATTTAAGAGCAATTGGAGGCTACGGAAGGAGTGTTGTATGGCATTGAAGCTCGTTTGGAGGTTGTTAACACAGTGTCCAATGAAGGGCCAGATGTATACAAAATGGTGTCGTCTGCGTAGAGGTGGATCTGAGAGTCACCAGCAGCAAGAGCGACATCATTGATATACACAGAGAAAAGAGTCGGCCCAAGAATTGAACCCTGTGGCACCCCCATAGACTGCCATAGGTCCAGACAACAGGCCCTCCGATTTGACACATTGAGCTCTATCTGAGAAGTAGTTGGTGAACCAGGCGAGGCAGTCATTTGAGAAACCAAGGCTACTTAATACGGTAAAGCTCTACGAGAAGCCACAGTTCCCGCTCAGCCCATTCAAAAGGCTATCGCTTGCTCTGGCACCCAATGGTGGACAGCGCCCCACGGACGCAGAAGGGAGTCATGACCACTTACGGAGACACTTGAAACCCAACTCTTTAAGGAATACCTGGAATAGTATAAAGTCATCCTCTTCCCCCACCCCCATAAATAAAAAAAATAATGAAAAGGTGGTTGTCCCACTGGCTTACTAAGTTGAATGCAACCAATTTGTAAGTCGCCTCTGGATAACAGCGTTCTGCTTAAATGATGGATGTAATGTTTGTAAAGTAAAATGTTTATGGTAACGCATGGATCCGAATAACAGGGCTATTCATGAATTCTTGCCCTTGGTTTGTGGCGAACAATCTGGGAAGGCTGTGTGCATTGTGTTTATCAAAATTACGAAGCCGAAAGTTAGGCCAGTCAAACACTGTGGGGTGTAGAGAGACGTGACAGCAAGCAAAAGAAGCTGAGGGAGTACCGATCGATAAATGGAAAGAGCGAAGAGAAACATGGCAAAGGGCGCAGAGGGAGAGAGAGAAAGAGAGCCAGATGGAGGGGAGAGAGGAACGAGAGGAGATCGGAGAAGAGCAGATGCAGGAAGAGGTAAGAGGGAGATGAGGGAGGCGAGAGATGAGAGAGAGAGAGTTGATGTGGGGGCAGAGAGAGAGAACTAGGAGCCGAGAGATGAGGGAGGACGGGAAGGGAGGGAGAAGGGATGAGGGAGGAGGGGTATGACAGGATGAGGGTGAGGGAATGAGGGAGGGAGGGATGAGGGGAGAGATGAGGGAGGGAGGGATGGTGAGGGAATGATGAGGGGAGAGAGATTGAGGGGGGAGGGATGAGGGAGAGAGAGATGAGGGAGGGAGGGATGAGGGAGGGAGGGAGCATGAGGGAAGGAGGGTTATGATGGGAGAGCAGTAGGGGATTATCGAGGGATGAGAGGGATTGATAGGAGGGAGGGATGGGGGATGAGGGGATGAGGGAGAGGGAGAGAGATAGGGATACAACCAAACATGCATCTTTCCTGCACCTTTGCCAGCCGTTTAGCAAAGTAGAACACAAGCAGAACCACATCCTATGTCATATGTAACATCTTTCATTGCATTATTCAGTATGATGGTGATTGATTGATAATTGGTTTATGGAACTTCAATAGCATTAGGAAATAAATCTACTCAGAAGTACATGAAAACACGATCACCATTATCTGATGGTGGTGGGTTTCACCAGTTTGAGTGGGAATCCCTCATGGGTCGAAGAAATATGTTCCTTTAGGGGTCAATACACACACACACAAACACACACACACCCACACAACCACACCACAACACACAAACACACGCGGGCCAAAACATTAACGTCAGACGAATAGTGTAGACTAGTCGACCGCCACTCTGAATCAGGCTCTCATTCAGCTCTGGGCCTTCCTTTGTACTCTACCCCCCGATAGGTGTGGGGAGACACAACCCCCCCCCCCAACACACCACACACACACACACACACCAATCTCACATAATTACATAACACACACAAATACATGCACATACACACACATTTAATACACACACGTACACATCGCAGAAACCCCACCCGTCCCAGCACTAAACACACATTTTTGTTTTTTTTTGAGTCCGGGACAATTGATGAGCTGGTGACAGTGTGTCCGGTGGGAGGGAACCTTCAGCATCACCTAAAATAAACCTCTCCTGAGGGCCGAGGGCGAGACACCTACAGTACAGACACAGACATACACACACTACTCAACACAACCTCGAACCGTATTGAAAAACACAAACAGGAGAAACCCCCTCTGACTCCCTCAAAACACACACATGGTGCCCCGTAGACTGTGGAGTACGCATTGGAACATGATGTGGTGCTGTGATTATTCAGTTGTGAATGGGCAGGGGCAGTCAGAGTGAAAGGTGATGCTGATCACTCTTAACTACAGCAGGGACACAACACGGGGCAGTCAGGCCGTGTGAAAATGGGATGCTTATCACTTTAAATAAAAAAAGGCCAGGCCAGGTAATAGCCAATGAACAAGAGCACGAACAGACCACAAACACAGCCGGAGAGAGTAGAGGGGGGAGGAGAGGAAGCGGGTGGACAGTGGAGGAGAGGAAGAAGAGGGGGACAGGAGGGGGAGGAGAGTAGAGGGGGCAGTGAGGGGCGGAGAGGAAGAGGGGGACATGAGGGAGGAGAGGAAGAGGGGACGGGTGGGGGAAGGAGAAGAAGAGAGAAGAAGAGGGGAAGGGGGGGGGAGGACGAGGAAAGAGGGCGACGGGAGGGGAGGAAGAGGAAGAGGGGAGAACGGGGAGGGCGGAGGAAGAGGACGAGGGGAAAGTGAGGGGAGGAGGAGAGAGGCCACCGAGGCGGACAGTGAGGGGGAGGAGAGGAAGAGGGGAAGTGCGGGGCCGGGAAGGGGAC